GGGACAAATATTGCCGTGAAGTTGCCAAATGGAGCTCCTTGTACTCAATATATGGACAAAGCCCTAAGCCATGGGATGTCAATAAGTTTTCCTAACAGCTTACCCAGTCTGTTAAGGCTGGAATCAGTGGGTAACCAATCTAATCTTAGTGAGACCAACCACTTGCAGAGTCAAATGAACATTGAGTTTAGGGGCACGCCAAATTGTCACCCTCATTCTCTTCCTAAATATCATGATGGTTTAACCAATTTAACTCCCTCCAATTCTCCACGAGGCATTGGCACAAATATAAATGCCAGGTCATCAGATTTGATGGACAGCCGGCAATATTCTAGACTTGGCTCAAATGGGCATTCAGTTGATTTGAATGAAGGTGGTAAGTTTCAATGATTTTCTATATTTATTCGTTGGATTATTAGCGTTCAATCTAAGTTTAACAGTTTGTGGACTCATAAAGTCAGTGAATATGCATATAAATGTTCTTAAATTGCAACAGAAAGAAGAGAAAAAGGAAATACTAGTTAAGTAAATAGTTGCACTGCTAAAGCGTAACTGGCCTTTACAAGTTCCTATTTGGATATGGGCGATAAAAAGAGCTTACCAGAATCTTCTTAGTTCTTATTCCCATGCCTATTTTCCCTCAATAAATTTTATTAAAGAGAATACTATTGACAAAAGAATTATTAGAGAATACAAGGACTATACCACTTTTATTTGAAAAGGAATACCACAATGTTGAACATGGCTAATTATGCTCTCTTGCTCAGTTTTTGGTCCCACTGGAAACGGTGGGTGTCCAACACCAGGGAATCCATATGCATGGAGTAGTTCACCCCAGCGACAGCCTCAAAGGATGATGTGGCCAAACTCACCATCATTTGTCAACGGAATTCGTGCTGCACGCCCACAATTGCATGGTGTTCCTGGAACACCATCTCATATGCTGAGTGCACTTCTACCAGTAAACAATCACCATGTGGGATCAGCACCATCTGTCAATCATTCTCTTTGGGATAGAAGACAAGCTTACACAGGTGAATCTCCTGATGCTTCTGTCTTCCACCCGGGTTCTCTTGGCAGTTTGCGGATTTCTGGTAATTCACCACAGCCTTTAGAGTTTGTTCCTCATAATATTTTCTCCCCGGGAAATGGAAGTTGTATGGACTTGCCAATACCTTCAAAGAATGTTGGATTACACTCGCCTCATCAGAGGTGTATGATGTTTCCTTCAAGAGGCCAAATGATTCCTATGATGAATGCATTTGATTCTCCAACTGGAAGGACAAGAAGCAGGAGAAGTGAAGGCACTTTGAGTCAAACAGACAACAAAAAACAGTTTGAACTTGACATTGACCGAATTATGAGAGGGGAAGATACGCGGACGACATTAATGATAAAGAACATTCCTAACAAGTATGTTGCGACTGCCTAATACCGTGCACTTATTTTGCATACTTTTTTATTTTTTTTTATTTTTTTATTTTTTTATATATATATTTATTGTCCACAAACTGGCTAATAATTTCATGGGAAGCACAAAGATCATATATTTGTAGATATATTAGTTTCTAAACTGATCTATAACTAACTTGGGCATCGATTATTGTTGCTGTTATTATTTCCCTAGCTGTGAATTGACTGATCAAAATTGACAGTTGTAAGAGGATGGGTGATGTAGAACCTCCCTGAAAATTTCATTCAATCTTTGGTTGACCTTACACATTGTTTTTAAACAGTAATACTTGGTAGGGAATCTGGATCCACCATCTATTACTCATCTCATGATTAATGCTACTTTATGAAACCTTCTTTTGCATACTTGTGTGTGGCAAGAATTCCAGAGATTCATTAATATATGTGCTTTTTACTGCTCTTGCTTTATAACATCTTTCTTTCTCCGCCTGATGGTAACTCTAGGTACACTTCAAAGATGCTTTTGGCAGCAATTGATGAACGCCACAGAGGAAGTTATGATTTTATCTATTTACCCATTGATTTTAAGGCAAGTATATTAAATATTAACCATTGAAGGAAATTCTTTTATATGGTATCTACTAAAGTTGCTACAATTTCCATCACTCTATTACAACAAATTGGTTTTCATATTTGTTGCAGAACAAATGCAATGTGGGTTATGCATTTATCAATATGACTGATCCTTCGCTGATTATTCCATTTTATCAAGTATGCTTCCCTCCAACCCTCACTAAATGATTGCTATGATCTTATTCTTTCTTTCTGTTCCCTAGTACCATTTGTTTATACAAGATATAAATTGTTGGTCTGGCAGTCAATTAATGGAAAAAAGTGGGAGAAATTCAATAGTGAAAAGGTTGCATCACTTGCGTATGCTCGCATCCAGGGAAAAGCTGCCCTCATTGCTCACTTTCAGAATTCTAGCTTGATGAATGAAGATAAACGATGTCGGCCCATACTTTTCCATACTGATGGTCCCAATGCAGGTGATCAGGTATGAGTGTATGACCATAGATCTTTACACACAAGCTTGTGCTTTTGTGTTTAGACTTTTTCTTCAACTTAGAGGATAAGAAGCTCAAAAGGAACGTAAAGTTGAAATATGGGTATTGAATTGTGATCTAATTGAGTCTATATGAATTCTGTTTGTTTTGTTCATTGAACTCTCATTGAAGCGTAGCATCATCATGTACTAAAATGTCTTTTTGACAATCTAAGTCTCCCTCTTTCTTGGCTATCTCCTAGTACTATCACATTATTACTTGCCCTTATCCAGCATACCCATGGGCCTATGTTGAAGATGTTTAAACCATCTTAATCTATTTATGTAAGTTATGACAACGAATAATTATTAAGGTATTGAGTAGATAATTTTATTTTTTTTTTCACTGATGACGTGAACTATCCCATTGGTTGTTACTTGTTACTTCAAATAAGATCTGTTTGAGAATAGGGTTTGGCCTAGAATTACTGTATTAATCTGAAAATTCACCCTAGCAGCCTAGCATGGTTATATGCTCTACCTGCTTTCTAAAGTTGAAGGTTTCGGCCTTCTATCCAATGTGTTCATGATCAATTACCAATGTTTTCCCCTTAGCATATAGTTATATGTAGTGCTACTACCTACTAGGATATTTGTGTGAAAGAAATGTGTATTTACACTGTATATGCTTGAAGACGGGATAATCTCTCATTCTCATATACTGTTTCTCGGCAGGTGCCCTTCCCCATGGGTGTTAATGTCAGGTCAAGACCTGGAAAGGGCAGAATTGGCACAAGTGAAGAAAACAACCAAGGAAGTCACACAAGCCCAGGCAATGGGGAGTCCAGTGGTGATTCATCTTCAGTCTCTTTAAATGAGTCAAACTAAACAGGCTGCTTCGATTTTGTTGGCGCTAAGCTAACCCTTTAGCCTTTAGGAATGAGGGCACATGGATTACATCCCCCCATCCGATTTTCTTATGTATATCAGAGGGTTGGTCAGCGGAAAGCAGAAAAGCAAGAAGACAATAGTAGTCGTTACTTGGTGGTACTTTCTGTTTCTTTGCGTAACACCCGAATTGTATGAGACCAATCAGCATTCCTACCCATTTGTTTCGGATACTGAGGCGATCCCTAGGAGCAAACAGTTGAGCTTCAAAAGTTTTGAAGAATTTAGAAGTACTAATTGCTTATTACTCCGGATTATTATTATGATGATGTATGTGTATTATGTACAGGGGTTGTAAGAGGGTGGGTAAGGTTGGTTTTGACTTTCCCATAGCCTAATTCCTCTGGCATTTTCGCCTGCCAACAGAAGCCAGAGAGCATTGTGGAAACAATTTTTCTTTTGTTGCGTAACATTTGATGATGTACCATTTCTTTCTAATTTTATATACTTTTCGTGGTACGACCTTTCTTCCGTGTTCTCAATTTTGCGTGTTGTTAATTCCCACCTGTATTATTACATTCCTACTTTGTCGCCGATAGTTTCAATCTTGGTAGATTCTGTTCTATATTGTAACAGAGTCAGTAGTATTAAAAAAAAAAAAAAGGATCTATATTGTAAAATAAACCACGTTCCACATTAGACTATTGGTTCACTTTAGTGTATGCATAATATACTTTTAAGAAAAATTTTGTAGTTGAAAAATATCTAAATAATCAACCTATCTTGACCTTGCTAATGTATTAAAATATCATACTTCATTCAACTAAATTTTAGCATTCTACATATAATAAATAAAATAAAACTTAAACATGTACTCGGAAAAATAATAAAATTCAAACATTATAGCCATTAACTAGTACTTAAATTAGTGAAGTTCATTAGTTTTAGAGATGGCCAATATAATTAAATACAATTGTCACAAACAAAGGTTTACTATTAAATTATCAAACTTTAAAATTCTATTGTTATATGATACAAAATTTAAGTTGTTCCTTTTACAAAACTACAATTATATGTATATATTATTCAATACAATAATTCAAGCCAGTTAAGTTATAATAACAAATTACTCACCATCTCTAAAACATTAATAACAATTTATAATAATGACAAACTAAGTGCTTTTCATAAGGACCATATGCAATATTTCCTACAAGATTATTCCATATCTTCTTCTAACTTTAAAGTTAAGATTCACGCTATGAAATGTAAGCAATGTTACAACCCAAGTGAGAAGTTGTCACAATTTTTTTTTTTTGGTTGCCCAAAGGTATCCCTCTAGCCGATAGCCAGAAGACTAATCCCCCGTCCCTACGGTCAGCACACTAAGTGGTAGGGGATTGAACCCCCAACCTCATGCTTAAGGGACGAGGTGCTGAACCACCACGCCAACCATATTGGTTGAGAAGTTGTCACAATGCAATTACCCTTCAAACCCCCCCTAGTTATTTAGATTTCCATTGCCCTTTTTTCCCTTGGGGACTTCAAACCCTGCTCTGGTTTACAGACAGCAGATTTTTCCTACATCCTACAAACAGTTGATGCAAATAGGTAGTACAGTAGTAACTTGAAAACACAGCAAAGGACAAGTTTGTAATGGGTCTCTTATAGAGTGCCTAACATAATAGTCATACTGTCCAGAATATGTGTATGAAGATAGTAAGATACAGCTACACTTACAACTGGTTGGGGTGGGGTGATACATGGATGGTTAGTGGTTATTGATGTAAGGTATTGGCACAAGCAGTCAGTCAAATAACAAGAAATGTACATGGTCCAGGTTTCAAACTCACAAATTGTTCTCACAGATCATCAAACTACAAAGTAACATCTATTGCAATGAAAATCCAGTCAACCGGGGCACATGTTAGTTAACATGTGTCTGTCATTTAGGGTACAGAATGTCATAATGACCTGGTCGGTATAGCAAGGTAATAAATGGAGGAGCTGGGGCCTGGGTCTTGGAATCACCATTATCAGCACTGGGGATGCCATGGTTGACAGGAACGAAGTCATGGTGGTTTACACTAACCCCACTGTTTTCACATGAGCTGCGATCAAGATACACAACACGGATTGGAACACCCAAGGCATCTGACAAGGCTGTAATGTGCACATGATCACTCTCTTCACCCATTGGTTCTACCGAAGACTTGCAAAACTATGCTCAACAAAAGAGAGCAAGAGAGACGTTAGTGGAAAGTATAGATGTAAAAGTAGGAAGGATTCCTACAATTTTATAGCAGAAATGAAAAACGTGAAACTTCCAAATTACAAGAGCAAATGTTAATTGAACATGGGTGTTACCAATATGCTCAATTAAGTCAAAAAATCAGAAATAACATTTTAGCATGCTACACATTGTATAATTGCACTTTGGTCTATATTCATGTATTCAGGAAATAAAAATAACAAACAGTAAACAAGTCATAAAAATCTAACCTGTTCCACCGAAGCATTTGATAATCCTAGTATAAACGGCTCAAAAAACTCTGAGCGTTTCTTTATCTCACCAGAGGTCACAAATCTGAAGAACATTACAACTGAACAAGAAGCAGTTTTAGGACAGAATAAAGTATATTGTAGAAATCGTTACTATAGAATGCTAACACAAGGGTGTTTAAATGAAGCTTACTATAGTCAGAGACTGATTGGTCACGGCATCTTTGTAGGAGTTCATCATGGCTGCAATAAGCAAAAATAAATAAATAAACATATAAATCAGAGCATACTCTTCAAAATACTCAACAATCCAAAGAAAAGCAATTTCATGACAGTTAACAAATGCAAAATTATGAGAAGAAGAAAAAGTTACATTCAAACCTTATGGAAGCTTCGCTGCTTTGAAGAACACTATCAAGTTGCTCGATGAATAACTATAATTTTGCGCACAAAATATGAAATAGCAGAATTATAAAGTTTACACAATAAGAAAAGACATTGAGCAGAAAATGAAAAGCTAAACAATGGCCATGTGGGAATTAATGGAGGGTGACACCATGCAAACTAAAGTATGAAAATTACCATGGCAGTTTATAGAAGGGAGGAAATCATCTATCCAGAGATCATCCACAAACTAAACTTACATGTTTTTGGGTGTTTAATGCATCAGGCATGGTTAGGTCTATAAAATCAACAGGCGGTCATAACTATAAACGACTCAACATATCAAATAGGATGAAATGAGTACCGCAAAAAAATCTTCAAACGTAAATTCTGCATAGCCCAGACTTTGAAGTGTTTTTCTGCATTCCTCCACATTGACTTTTATACGCTCAACTTCTTTTTGGTCTTGTGCTTCCAAAATATGTTCCTTCATTTGTCAGCAGATGATCTTTTAGCAGCCTAATAGGGCTAACAGAAATAGGTTCATATATAGAAGCCCTACATTGCAAAACAATAACTTTATAACATACAAGGTAAGCAAACATGAAGCTTCGGAAAAAGCAGTTTCCATCCCCACGTGTTCTTCTGATGGAATTATATTGTTCACTCAGAACCTGTATAAATGTTCAATACCATTTAGCAATGCAAATGCATCGTGAAGAATTGAAGAAACTTAGAACACACAAATAGAAAATAAACCTTTATCTTCTGCAATAGAATTGGACTTCCTGATTGATATTCAGCCTCCAACGATAACAGAGGTTCCTGTAATTGACATGCCATGCATTACAACTAATGATATTATTAACAAAATCACCAGAGAAGTGCATGCAGAAAGAGTTACAAAAGATATGTCATGTAGTATATTCATTTTATACAGGAACAGAAATTTTTTTAAAATCCACTCTAATGCACACAGCATAGAGGAAAGATTGGAATATAAGGATGGAAATTGCAGGTAAGATAGTTTGCATTCACATCTTTAACCATATACACAGTGGTATTAGTCAGGAACAAAAAAATTATGCTTCCATATTAGCAGTTGCTCTTACCTTATCACCTACAAACGGAAGCTTCTCAGCTTCCTCAGCCCGAATAACAGAATGCTGCTGCATAATATCATTATCCCCAAATTTTGTCCAATCATCAACTTCAGATGCTTGAGCAGATGCTGAGATTTCAATCTCAGCATCAGTTGTCTGCCCCTCCTGACCTTGCATCTCCTCTTCAGCAATAAAAGTATAAGCTCCCTAGTAAAGACCTTTCTCTAGAAAAGAAAATAAATTACATAAGTAAACACAGATTGACATTTGAAAGTGGATACGTGTTTTGGATTGCAAGGCAACAGTAGGTAAGGTGCTAGTGTGTTACTGATAACACATGGAAATGATGTTTTTAGCCTGCAGTACGAAGCAAGATAAAGTTGAATTCACAGGACTATACAACATAAAGTTTACATAATACTCAGTATATGGGAGGAAACCTTAAGGAAATGGAACAACTATCTACAAAAATGAGCTTGAAACCCATCCAATTGCAAGCAATTCAATTAGTAATTTCTTATGGAACCCGTGATGAGCTTTGTTGTTTAATAGAACATTCACTAATACCTTAATTGAATCAGTCAAGATCAAATCTGATTATCAAAGTGCTTCTCCAATTGCTCAAGACATTTCTTTTCAAATGAGGAAGAAAACAAGAATATTTTGTTCCATTTTTAGTAAAATAGAGAAGGATATTCCAATAGTAATGAAAATGGGGATGGAGGGGATCCGTATATGTTGTTCAGGTCAATTGAATGGCGCAGAAATAGCTAGAACTGAATCCGGAAAGTAAGTTAAAACATGTCGTAATGTATTTAACCAGAAAATAGAATAGGCTCCTGCAGAATTATCAACTGGTTACGAAATCTCAGGTGTAAAAGTATGGATTTCATTTAGTAAAAAAAAAAAAAAAAAAAAAAAAAAAATAATAATAATAATAATAATAATAAAGGGACGTGCTATATCCAAAATGTACGAAATATAGTAAATATCATAAAGGCAGATGTAGTAGGGTTGCAAAACAGACGGTACACGACTTGATTTTAGAAGATATAGCACTAAAAGTTGTAGAGCTGGTCATCTTTCATATAGAGCCATTGAAGCAACGTGTCGTGCTATAGTAGGACACTCACATCAATCTATTAGCAAGACAATTCTGAAGAAATGGTAAGATATGATTAAAGTTTTGGCAGATTTATGGGGAAACCTACAGAAGTAAGAATAGGAAGAGGAAATCCTACGGGTTGGATTGCTCGTGTCCACGGGAAAAATCCTATTTGAAACGGATGGTATGAGTCCACTAGATTAGTGGCCCATAAACTAGACATTTCAAAAGTTTATGGGCGTTCATTAAACTTACAAAAAGAGCAAAAGGTACCCATTTCACAAATACGGTCAGAAAAGTTTACCACCTCAGCTGGATAATTATTTTGCAAATTGCCATCAATTGGCCCATCCTAAAATTTCATCCATCACATATCCAACCCCATATTATTGGCCATTTAAAGTCCTAGGTGCTAACACAAATTCTCGAAAGGGGCGGTTTCTATTCTGTTCAATATTGCATCATCAATTCCATACAACCACATTATACTTAGGAGTTAGGACACAACTAAACTCAACACAGAGTATCCTTTATTCATCAAACGAACCTCCAACACTCTTGGTGAAGGCAACAATTAAGCAATCCAAAGCAAATTGAGCATCTAAAAACAAAAACCTATAAACTATCCACATAAATTGCTTCGGATGGAGAAAATGATAGTTGCGCACTTATCCTTGATCTCAAATCACAAAACATAACAGAAATTCAGCACAAAAATCCATACGAAAAGCGATATCTACCAACAGTACGCAGACAAACACATACAGATTCCATAAAACTCGTAGAATTATGGCTTCGCTACCCTAAACAGATCAAAATTGGGGGAAGACGGGGTTTAGAAGTTGCGGGAACGAACCAGACGATCCGAGAGAGAATCGAAGACGAAACAAGTCTGGACTGGAGAGGAGAGTGCAAGCAATTATTACTTGGCTAGTCGCTAGTGCGATGGTACGGTACTATCCTATGACTGCTCAACTTGTGAGTGGGTTGCGGATCAGTTTCAGGTTTTCACGTTCAAGTATCCGACCCGCCTCAATGGTTCGACACTTAACCCGCTTTAATTACTACTTTTGATAATTATATTATATTTTAAGGATAGATTAATAATAATAATAATTATTATTATTGATTCAATTCATGTATGCATTGTCAAATGAATTCTTCCTTAGCTTTCTCCATTTGGTTGTCAAATTAAGATTCCAAAGTCACAATATTTGATGGCAAAATTAATAGGATTTTAAAAATGCAGATGAGTCAAATAGATTCAGTATTAATTTCTGAATTTCTAAACCAATACCTCTCGACGGTTGTATAGCATTGACAATTAAAGCTCAAAGTGCTCTTCGAATTCATAGCAAAGTGAAGGCGAGCAAGAATGTAAGTTTAGCTTCGGTTGTGTTTGTATTTAAGTTTTGACTTCTATAATGGTGTTTGTTGTCGTATGTTGTATTTTTGTTTAAGTGTTAAATTTAGTGTAAGGATACATATATTTGGAAAAAGTTGAAGCGTTTAGTGATGTTGTTGTGGCCCTACTTTTGGTGTTAGCTATTCATATCTGTTGTCAGAAATAGTGGAAAACAGTTTTAATTTTTGTCTGTTATTTGTTTGGAAAAAAGCATGTAAACAATGCTAGTGAGGTCTTTCTTGTTGTTGTGATCCTACTTTTTTTTTTCTTCTACAATTAAAACAGATGTGAAACACACCAGTTTTTGTCAGTTTGTTCTTCATTTACCCCATTTTAGAAGCAGGTGCATACATGAATTAATGTGTTTGGTTATACATTTTTTTAGACCAATGTGTTAATTGAACTATGAATAATAAAAAGGCCTATTTGACCCTTATACCTTGAAAAAATGAAAACAATTATTGCACATAAGCTTTAATATTTCAAGTTATTAGGACTGGTTTGTAGGTGAAATCAAGAGGGTTTAATGAGTTTAGAGATGTCAAAATGGTGCTGAGCATATGACAAAGAAACAACCTCGAGTTGGGTCGATAATGGGGGCATAATGAAGCAAAAAGGCAGATATGGTGGTAGGGGCATTTTCCAAGTTTGCTAGGGAATAACCCATGTGATAGGTTGTAATAGAACTATATCACCTCGTTCCATTTTCCAAGTTTGCTAGGGAATAACCCATGTGATAGGTTGTAATAGAACTATATCACCTCGTTTGGTTCGCTGGAAAATATTTAAAGGGAAATGGAATTGAAATTCCATGGAAAATTTTTTTAGGAAAATTGATTCAATTGTTTGGTTGGTGGAAATGAAATTACTGGGAATATGAATTCTATTGTTTGGTTGAGTTTAGAAAAATAAAAAATAATGAATATAAAGTCCAATATGCCTTTAAAAATATGAATGAATAAATAGGTATCTATGTAATTAAGAAATTTTCATAAGGGTAAAATGGTACACTCATACTATTTTTCTTCCCAATCCTTGTGGAAAACAAAATCCCACCCTTTTTCAAAGAATTCATTTTCCTCAACTTTGAGGAATCCATTTTCCAATAAAAAATGTTTTCCATCCAACCAAACAACATAAACCAACATTTTCCTTCACTTTGAAGAAAACATTTTCCATGGAAAATGTTTTCCATCCAACCAAACACCCCCATATGTTCATAGTGTAGTTCCCATGTAATCTAACTAGTTAAGAGATTGTTAGGTAAAACTAGGAAAAAGTTGGTTCCCTCTCCTATAAATAAAAGTATTCTTTCCCTACTACTAACCCCCTCCAATCATTGTTGTGTGGACAAAGTTGTATAGACCATATTTTGTATATTGTAAAATAATATATATTCAGTACAAAAATAATATACATTGTATTTAGGGAATGTACATTATTTTTATACTGAGTGTATATTATATTGTATAATGTACATTTAGTATATTAAAAATGTACTTTTTATTATGGTCCACATAACATTATGTGGACCATGGTCCATACAATAATTTGCCACCTCTCTCTTGGCTAAACACGATTATATGAGTTTTTCTAATGTGATTTACTTCTCTTGTGTGGTTGTCAAAAATAAAAAGTATTGTTCCCAAATGTAACACAATATTGTTCTTTTAAGTAATACATTTATTTATATTGTTTACAACATTCTCCGTATATTTATTGCAATTTACGGAGTAGTCATTATAGTGGGCTGTAGTGTTTTGAAGTGAAAATGGGCTTCATAGAGACCTAAATACAAACGGAATTGGGCTGCCAATTTACCCCCTGGAGGATAGTTAAGCCCAATTCAAATTATATTATGCACCGCGGTGCATAATCGATTATGCACCGCACGTCTTTTTTTTAAATGAAAATTAACAGTGTTTATTTCCGTCGTTTCGCACCCTTTTACAAAAAGTAACTCTGTTATTCAGTGTCATTTTGTATACACTGCAGTTTCAGTTGAACACAACTACAGTTTCATTTCGATATTTATAGACTCAAATATGTGAAAATGTTATTTAATTTTATTTTATATACACTATAGTTTTATTAAAACACAACTACATGATCATTTTGATATAATTACAGCTTCATTGTATAATATACACTCAAATATGTGAAATGTTATTCAGTTTCAGTTTATATACACTGCAGTTTCATTTCACTATAACTACAGTATCATTTTGATATAACTGCAGTGTCGGTTTGGATATACTGTAGTGTCAGTTGGTGTTTAATACACCAAACAAACGGACTCCGTTAACTCTAACGGCGGGCCGTTTCTTTACTTAAAGAAACGACGCCGTATATGGGCCGCGGTGCATAATCGATTATGCACCGCGGTCTATAATATAACAACTGTGGAAAACCGTAATGGTCCACCTCTAAATTGCAGAATATGGCTGAAGAAATGTCAAAACCTTAATAAATATGAAAGCAAGCTCAGACTGGTACGCAATCGGTTAACCGTTTGATTAACCGAAGTTTTTAAATTGTATTATCGAATTAATCGAATCGAAATCTTTTCGATTAATCGATTAATCAAAGTTTTTGAAGTTAAAATTTTAAATATTTAAAATAATACATATAATAATAAATTTATATGAAAATATACAAACACAATTAATCAGGTCCGACTGCTCTAGACTTCTTAGGACAGATCAATCGAATTATATTCGACATATTAATACATTCTTAACTCATAATCTCCCACTTCGTAATGTAATTCTAGATCCCTAGCTAACTCCACCCTAACTTACACTATGAGTGTGAAGTTATTTAATTTTATGAGTATTTAAAATTTTATTATGACATAAGTATTTAAAATTTTATTATGACATATTTATTGATTAATTAAATTATATACGAGGTAGTTATTACGTCGGAGAATACTAAAAATGTACATTTTTTGGACTGCATCCCAACATCTAATTAAAACAGACCATGCTTAGTACCACTATATTTATCACTCATAAACTTGTCACTCTCTGATGTGCAGTGGTAAGTTATTATTCGTTAAGATATGAAATAAAAAAAAAAAAATCAAACCAATTAAAATTTGTCACATTAGAAAGTGATAAGTTTGTGAGTGGTAAATATAAGGGTACTAAGCATTTTCCAATTAAAATAATGCGTACTTACGTTTGTGGACTCTCAATGATTCATGCATGTTATAACATTATACAAACACTTACTTAGTACTCATTCACGTACATTGAGCAATAGTTAAGCAAAGATATAAAGTGCTTAAATTAAAGTGCAAATTAAGAGGTGGTTCATATCGCAAGCCGGATGTAGTGACTCTTTAACCACCGCATGCTAACTTATTTAATATTATTATGGTACTTTCTTTTATTAATTATGACACAAAATAAAATATTATCGTTACTTTTGATTAGATTAATGTAATCATATGTGTAGCCAAAGAGCCAATGATGTCCAAGAGGTAGCCTCATTGACCTTAACGTAGGGGTTTGACGACTCCATTCGCCTTGAATAATCCCTAATTTTTTAGTTTAAAGGCGGATCAGAGAAAATTAGCATATAAATAATTATTTTGATTTTTGAGTGAGCTCAGCTAATGGTTTATATTATTAAGAATTGAGGGTATGAAGTACTATATGGCCAGTTTGGTAAAATAGTTAGCATTTGACTTATTTGATCACTATTAGCTGTTGTTTTAGTTAGACAATCAATATAAGTGTTTGTTTAATTAGCTTTTTGTAATAATTTTTTGTTCCAAATTGTTAAAATTAAAAAAGCTACTTTGAGTAGCTTTTTCAATTAGATTTTTGATAAAGTAATTTATATGTAATAAGCTAACAGCTAATAGTTAATTTACCAAACATTTTTTATACAATCAACTAATGCTATCAACTAGTTAAACTCACTAACAACCATTTACCAAACACCCCTTATATCTTTCAACTTTGTTAATCAACGTCAAATATATTGACCCTATTTGATAATATAGGTAGCTTATCAGTCAATTCTGACTTATTTGACTACTATTAGCTGTTTGACGTGGTTGAGCACTCATATTGATTGTTTGATTAATTAGCTTTTTGTAACAGTTTATTGTTCCAAAATGCTAAAATTAAAAAAGCTACTCAAAATAGATTTTTCAATAAGTTTTTTTAGAAAGTCATTTTATATATAATCAACTATCAACTAACAACTAATTTACCAAACACTTTTCTACAATCAACTAATATTATCAACTAGCTCTAACCCAATCAGCTAACAACTATAAGCTATTTACCAAACACTTCCATTTTTAGAAGATTCTCTATTATATGCGCATAAATAAAAGACTAATTATTTACTATTTGTCGAATACTTTTATTTATTTATTTATTTTTCGGATCAAACTACTTGTTAAACTTTATTTAAAAAAAAATAATCTCGAACACCTGTCGTTCTATTAATGAAGTATATATAATAACTCCATGGGTAGCTCAAATGGTCATAGCGGTGAAACTTTGGAAGAATGACCAGGGATCTAGTCTCACCAATTGCAGTGTGGGAGCAACCTCTCAAAGTAAGGGGGGTTCCTTGTGCGCAGTGACCGGT